CATTCACTGCACCAGATAGTCAGTAAAATACATTATTTCACAAACTAGATTTCAGTCAAATATATTCTAAATTTACTGTTACTAAAATATAAAACATGACATATACAGTATTTACAAATAAATATGCACTACTTCAACAACGAAAGAGGGTTATGTTATGGAAAAAAGGATAAAAAACCTAGCAACACTAAATTTTTAATTACTGTTTAAAATTTATGGCAAGAAATTTATCTTAGTTTTCCACAGTCAGTATAACTTGAGATCCTGTTCACATCCAATTTCCAGAACTCATATTCACAATAATTCTGAGAGCACATGGAGGCAGCATTAAATTCTCTAGAAATATGCTAGCAACATTTTAAACATATTAAAACATATAGCTGTAAGGCTTGAGATATCACAAATACTTTGTTGTCTTTGACAAGTCAAATATGAGCTGAAAACACAGAGACAATCAGCTCCACAACCTAGCAGGTGGGATTGCGGGAAAAACCAGCTCCCCTCCTTTCGTTCATTTACATTTGAAGCACCCCTGCAACCATTTGTTTAACCACCCTCTCTACATACTGTACTCACACAGAATGGTCATTTCAAAGTCTGAATGTTCTATATCAACCCAAGTGACTTGATCTATCATGTTTGATATCATTTGAAATGTCTCAGTGCGACTGGTACAATGGCCTCATTCCATCTGAAATAGACATAATCAAAACAATAGATATATAACTTCAGGTATCTTTTGAACCACTGTGAAGGGTGTGCCTTTCCTATAGGCAGAAACTCTTTCACTAAATGCAAATGCCTTTTGCTATTCACACACCCCTTTCCTTGAGGGGATTTTTGGATTTACTACTTAAGTGAAGGTTTCTAAAATGTTCGGCGCGATTCTGTTATCCAGATCAGCCCATAGCATGGAACTTCATGTTCTACGCTATGTATATTTTGAAGTCAGGTATGCATCTTTTATTCTTGGATTTATCTTTGAGAATTTGATGTCTTGTATTGATCGTTTATAAATTGACTGAATGAATTGGCATAATACACATTTACCTGACTAATAAATTGTTATGTTTTGAATTATTCAAACAGAGTTTGTGTTATTATCCCGGGTAGATTATGTTAAGTCCATAGCACCACAAGCCTTTGTGCAGGTTAATAACAGACTAAAACATGTTAGATGGATCAGTGTGGCACGCTATACGATATTTTTAGAGCTCTGACTTATACAATGGCATTAATTCAACTATACTTAGACTGTAAAAGGCCAATAATGGGTTTTCTATTTAGAACAACAAAATATTGTTGAGACCAATCTAAATGTGGGTAAGTTAGGCCTTCATCTACAATCTTATAATATTATATAAATCATATGGTGATTATTCAAAGTCACTAATAGTTTAAGTGAATTTGTCTGCTTGATTCTATAGTAATGATTATGGTATGACTAAAATATTTTGTATTGATTCAGTAGATAACAGATCTATGGGGGCCACATAAAATATCCTAAATTGAGTAAGTAGGGTTCTGCCTTTTTAGGAGAGTGGTTAATCGCCTCTGTTCAATGACGCATGTGTTTAAGAGATTGTATACTCGGCCGGTACAAGACTCAAGATGCTATAGAAATCTGAATAAATGAGAAGAATGTATAATAAGAAATCAAAGAGAATATTCAATCATAATTTAAAGTAATGTTAAAGGAAACAAAATAATCCTATCAATGTTTTATAAATGGAGTCAGATAAAACAAGGATAAATATATTAATATTCTAAACCACCTCATATTCAAATTGGAGTCAGATATGAGTTAAACTTAAAGTAAATCAACATTGTGCACTGGAAAGACCGAACAGACATTGAACCTTCATCCACCAGTGGACACCTCCATTGGACCAACTGAGTGGACCTTACATGGCAGCATGCTAATTAGGGATGTCCAGATCCAATCACTTGATCAGAAATCAGGCCTGATCACCCAGTTTTAGACTCGAAAGGAATCGGACGTTACCTCCTGATCAGCACTCGAATATGTATATATCTCATTATTTTTTAATACATCTATAGTTATGCGGTGGTGCACAGAGATAGACCTCTTGACTTCACACCGAAACTGCAATGTGTGTGACATGACATCACTTGGTTAAATGCCGGCAGAACACGAAAACAGCTTAAAGTGGAAAGCGTGAGTATGTCTGTGGTCTGGAGGTATTATGAAGTTGATGACAACAACATTGCCATAGCAAACTGTGAGATATGTAAACTTGAGATTGCCTGTCGGGTATTTTAAGTTAAGGTAGTGTTTGTTTTTATATTAGAATTTGTTTTATATTTACTGTTGCACTAAAGTCAAAAAGTGAATCATTTATGTTATTTATTACTTTATCATTCAAGCTACCTCACAGAAGTGTTCTGTTTGTTAACAGAATTGTTGAATGTTAAAATAGGGTGAATTAAATAAAAAAAAATAGGGAATTTCTGAATCTGTTTCTTCGCTCTTTTTTATTTTTTTATGTATTTTAAGAGGTATTGGATCAGGTTTCAGTATCGGTAGATACTCAAAATCAACTGACTTAAGAGCAAAGAAAATCTGATCGGGACATCTCTAATGCTAATTAATGCTATATTGCCAAAACCTTCAATCCTAGTTACATAATAAACATGCTTTGTCATTTTCCTGAAATATCAGTATAATATTTGTGCACAATTATCTCTGAAAGACATAGATTTTTCTTTTCTAACAGAACTACTTTTCTTTGAAATCCAAATGGTGCCAATGACACATTGATTACGAAAGACATAAGGCCTCAGCCTCATTATATAGAGGCTAAAGTCACATAACCATCCGAGGAATAAAAACATCTATAAAAATCTCAGAAGACATGGTGCAGTCACCCTTTTAAGAGTATGCAATAATGACAGAATTATAGGTAACCATGGCTACCAAACAGTAATGGGCCACCTGTGGGCTACTGGTTCACTGGGGAAGCCAGAGTGAGCTTAGTTTCAAAACACTTATGAGATCACATGTCTGGACAGAATAAAATGATGTTTGTTCACTGTAGGCCTATTTGACTAAAAGCCTCTTGTATCATGTTACAATTCTCAGTTAATAAGCTATACCATAATATTAGAATCACACACACACACACACACACACACGCACGCACACACACACACACACACACACACACACACACACACACACACACACACACACACACACACACAAAAACAGGTGTGAAACTTGAGTAAATTAGTTTACAGTACCCTTTTTTGGTACTCATTAAAAAATGGGTTACTCAGGGTCTAAAAACTGCCAAGGTGAAGTGCAATGCAAACAACCCTTCATACTGCACACCATCATGCAACTGTCACTTTCTGACTCAAGGTGTGAGTATTTGGAAAGGCCCCTAAAGCCATTTCATTTAAGTTATTTTGCATCTGTATTCAGTGAAGATTGATAAACCAACTTAAAATTAAATTCTGCTATCTATTGCACTGGAGTGAAGTACCTGATGCTAAATACGGACTACAAAAGCCATCTGCAGGGCCAGACGGATTCTGCGGACGTTTTTTGCTATTACTGCGTAAAATTTTGGAAAAAATCTGCAGATTTCTGTGGAATTATTTTGGGAGTATCCAGCGGAGTATCATAACTAAAATCTTAATATACTAAATAAAAAGTAATAAATTACTGTATAAAAACTGAATAAATTCAGATTTACACATTTACTCAAGTAAATAAACAGAATTAATAATGGGCTAAAAATCTGCAGAAATCTGCGGAATTCTGCGGAAAATCTGCAGAAAATTCTGCACGCGCAGATTCCGTGTGGGCCTAGTCATCTGTCACATCAAATATGCAAACTTGAATTCTTGTGGTAGTTGTAGTCCTTCTGTTGAAACTTGTTAGTGAATCCTTTTTTTAAAAGAACATGTGTTTTAGAAATTTGAAAAAAAAAAAGCCTAGCTTGTTATAGTGCCAAGCTCAATTTATTATTTTGTTAATTAACTTTAAAAATACATTGAATTCAATTAATATGTTTATCCATTTCTCAGGGAATATAGACAATGTGTTTTGGTGCATTAAAAAAAAGATTTGGCTTTAGCACTGACTAATCAAATGTATATGCACATATATAATATTGTGTAGCTTCACATTAAAAATATTAATTTAAAAGATAGAATTGAGTGAGGTGTACTTATATACATTTTACGTCAGAATCATAAGCCCCCTTTGATTTTTTTTTCTTTTTTAAATATTTCCCAAATTATGTTTAACAGAGCAAGGATATTTTTACAGTATGTCTGATAATATATTTTCTTCTGAAGAAAGTCTTAATTGTTTTATTTCGATGAGAATAAAAGCATTTTTTAATTTTTGAAAAAAAAAAAGTAAGGTTAAAATTATTAGCCCTTTTAAGCTAGGCCTATATGTTTTTCGATAGTCTACAGAACAAACCATCGATGCACAACAACTTACCTAATTACCCTAACCTGCCTTGTTAACCTTAGGCCTTTAAATATCAAGCAATATAGAAGTGTCTTGAAAAATATCTACTTAAATATTATTTACTGTCATCATGGCAAAGATAAAATAAAGCAGTTATTAGAAATGAGTTATTAAAACTATTATGGTTAGAAATGTGTTGAAAAAAATCTACTCTCCGTTAAACAGAAATTGGGGGAAAAACAAAACAACGCTATTTAAAAAAATAATAATTAAAAAAAAAAAGACTCTTCACCTATCTGCAAACCCAACAAGCCATCAAAATAACAAATCAATACTTCACACACTGTCGCACCACTGCGCTTTATAGTCACATTTCTCTTTATAATATATCCTGTCTAGCAACTCGGGGTGTCGGGAATTCCAGGATCCGACCATTCATTTGCTGCGATATTCCTTATGATCCACCTTAAATGACTGATCCCTCCCTCCCTCTCTCCGCCGCAGCTCTCCCTACCCTCAGACTGAATCTCTATCTTCCCTCTTTCGATTTCCAGCCACGGCAACCAGTGATTGAAACTGTCTTTTTCGTCGCGCGGTGAAGGGTTGCGTTTATCCGCACTTTTCCCGGCGGTTAAACGGCGGCGAAACAAACAGAGCAGTTAACACGCAGAAAACAAGATTTAAAACCAAACAAAACTTGGATCTGTTGCGTTTGCGTTCCGTAACCAACGCGGAACATACCTCTATCTCTTTTGTGATTATTTCCCTTTTTCTCTGGACAAGAAAAGGCTGTTGGATTGGATTCGAGCAGACGGGCTTTTTACTTCAGAACGGCGTGATAAGAAGTTTCTACGTGTTTTAGACTTAACTCGGAGGTCGCATTTTAAATGTAGGAAAGGCGACTAACGATAATTCCATCCTGCTGGTTGACTGGCACCAATTCCAAAGTTACTTTCCAGATGCAGAGTAAACAAACACGGTTTGCAAGCGACGAAAGACATTGCCTATCCGTGTAAGCGTTTACTTAGAGACCTTTTGCGTCTTTCATCATTGGGAGTTTTGAGGAGAGGGCTTGTTTTTGAGGAGAAGGCTTGTTTCTCGATGCACTGAATGAGGAGGAACGTCCCATGTGTGGCATTCACTCTTTCTGACAACCCTCCAGCCTTAAGGTAGGTTTGTTCAATCTTGTTGTTTTCTTATTCTGTTTATTTAACCTTATTTCCTTCTTATATTTTGCCATCCACAGGTGTGCGTGTACATGTTCCATCTTGTAATCTGTTGTGCTCTTCTGAACCTCGCCGTATTTGCTCACGAGACATGTTTTGCCTGTTGCAAGTGTTCATTTTTTGCGCCTCGAGCAATTTATGCGTTTGCTAGTGGTAATGCACATAACTGCTGCATTTAACCTCTAGTTTTTTCGCAATTGATTTTATGTGTGTTTTAATGTCACTCCACCACCATTCCTGACACCGCAGTCATATAACGTTGAGAAGTGCACGTTTTGCACTACTGGCTAATAGGATGGTTTTAATGGGCAGATATGAATGGGTACATCTTATGTGAAGAGCAAAGAGGCTCTCTTGCTGATTGATGAAGAGGTAATCAGTCGATCCTCTGACGTCACCCCCTTGAGTAACGTCCACCGCGCCTCGTTCGCGCCTCTCTGGGTGTGTCCTCGCGCTATTGCGTCGAAGGGGAAACCCTGCAATTTGTTCCCAGTCAGGAGCTCGATGCTCTGTCCTGTGAGGAGATCAAAACCTGCCCGGTTGTGTCAGAAAGAGACGAACTCGAGGCACACATGCTTTTTTTGTTTTGGGTTATATCTAAATATGGACATTCGTGTATGATTTCAGGGGTTTGAAGTTCTTCGTCACCTTCAGGTTCCTTTGTGATTGTTGGCTTCAGCTGCCTGAAGAGATGAAAACCGTGACTTGCAGTCGTGACAGTCTGAGAGGTGCTGAAATGAGCTTAAAACAAAACATTACCCACTTTAACAGTTTGCTGTTAAAAAGGTGTAATGCATAAAATAAGTTTTTTGGCACGTTGGGGTGCTTCAGTAACTGACTTCCATTGTTTGTTTTTCCTTATTGAGACTGATTATGGTGTCATGTTGACAAACGTCCTTTGTGTGCTTTGTGCATTATGTACAAACATGAATCTCTTGAGAACATTTGACTCATAAAGGTCAGGATATGTTTAATATCCTATTTTCCCACATAAAGTGCAACGTTTTGTAGGAATTCTGTAGCTAAAATGTCTAAAATGCTTCAAGTCAAATTGAAGAAAGGCATGATGTCTGATGTAATTTCATTTGATTTCATGGCGTGATGTCGTTTCAAACAAAATTAGATTGGATTGGATTGCCGTTTTCCAGAAATATTCTCATTGACTAACTAGTGCAGTGGTTCCCAAAGTGGTGGGGGTAGGGACCCCTCAGGAATCACTTGGTGCTTTCCAGAAATTAAATAAATTTTATTAAACTATTTAAATGAGCATATCTTATCCATAGCCCACAGAAATTCATAATAGTAGTTAATAGTTACGTTTAAAAAAAACAACATGCATGTATTCTGACTCCTGGGGTCATTAACGTTTTATTAAAGACAGCAATTGTGTCAGATGCAGCAGATTTATTTTATGGCACCAAGTTAAACTTTTACAGCACTCACATACATTAAAAATAAATACAGGCCACAACTGAACATGGAGAATGATCTCTGGGTGGCGTTCTACAAAATCAAATGTAAACTAGACTTGGGCTTATTAGTGTGTGTGCACGCGCCTTTGCTTGCAAGGTTTGCATGTGTATAACCACTGTATAAGTCACTGGCATTGCTATTTTGGGTGTTGCGGGCTAAAAAGTTTGGGAACACCTAAACTAGTGGATAGGTGAGGTGTGGTGTGGTCTGCTGCTGTGCGTTTTTGGAATATTGTAAATTAAAAACAAAATCCTCTGTTTAGTCCATTGTCTTAACTGCAGTTTTATGTACTTTGTTATTGAGAGCAAAACGTGCGCACATCCATATTCCTCTAAACACTGCTCTGAGAAGTTTGGACAGCGTTGTAATATTCACCAACACTGCTTAGATATTTTGAACTACCTCTTGCCCCATAGTCATTGGTCTCAAACTCTATTCCTGGAGGGCCACAGCTCTGCACAGTATAGCTCCAAACACCTCCAACTCATTCCTGCTTAAAAGTCTCTAGTAGTCTTGATTAGTTTAATCAACTGTGTTTGATTAGGGTTGGAGAAAAACTGTGCAGAGCTACGGCCCTCCAGCAATCGAGTTTGAGTGATACCTAAACAGTTTGAGCCCTTAGTGAAAAATTAAGAAAAAAATCTTCCCGAGTATATCAGGGCCTTTGTACACAAATCCAAGTAGTTCGTTAACCATGCTATAATTGTAAAGTCTCCTTGTGTGGAAGCTGGAAAGCCATCTTTTTGTTTAATGGCACACAGGGGAATGTTCACTTGTAATCTTCTGCTTGTGTGAACACTATTTATTTTGCAGAATGTTCTGGGATATGTTTAGTATGCCCACAAAATAATCACAAGAGAAAGGTCAGTCATTATGAAATATGCTGTGATCACATTTAAGCTTATCCCTGCAGATCCACCGTAATCCATGAAAATGGCTGAAGGACTGTTGTTAACCAAATGAAAGTGACAAACTCACGGAGATCATGGTGTCATCTGATAGATTTGCAAACAATGGCCATTTAAATGCGAAGCGTTATGTGCATTTGAACAACGGCCGTTAACGTTTCAGGAGAATTCATAAGCAATTATGAAGAGCAGCTTGAAGACGTGAGTAAGCAGATAGCGCAACTGAACAATACTACTTATGCATTCATATCTGAGTGGGCGTGATTGTGCATGCTTTAAACTTTACATAACCTGTAGGGTGGGGGTGTTTGGAGCTATCGAGAAGTTTTCTTCTCTAGTGATTACTCCAGCCGACTGATGCAATTTATTGTTGTGCATATCAAGCTGTGTTTACCCTGCAGAGCATCTGTTCTCTCTAATTAGGGGAGAGTTGTACTGTTCAGCCTCCCTCGTCAGACATGATCATGGGTGCTGGTGGTAACTTCAGCCTATACCATGACTCAGGTCTCCCTTGTGTGACTGCTGGCTATAAATGGGATAACTATATCCACCAGCTCAGACTGTTGTGTTGAAAACATGACTAGAGACGGTTAATGAGCTGTGGGGTCTTGTTTTGCGTGAAACATTGTGGGGGATGTACCTGTTGAATTTTGCTGAAATGGAACGTTATGCCTTCATTAGTAGAAGTAGATGTGTTTGCATGCTGTGGCATATTAGTAACACTTCTCATCAAAATGTGCTTTAGTAACATACACACACACACACACACACACACACACATATATATATATATATATATATATATATATATTTTTTTTTTGCAGTAAGTTAGGACTATAAGGGCCTTTAATCCGTTTTTTTTTTCTTTTTTTTCTTTTTTACATTTTTTTCAATGAGAAGCAATTACCATCTAAAAAAGTTAAAAATGAAATACAGCACTACTACTACTTTTTTGGGCTTTCAGTGGAATAAATCAGTGGTTCTTAACCCCTTGGCTACTGAGTCTTTTTTTGAGTCATTTCGTTCAATTTGCTAAAATAACATTAAAATGTTACGAGATGCTTCCAAACACATCTACAACTAGGCCAAACGTTAATCACTCTACATAAAAGGCATAACTAGAATGCTAATATATAATGCAACTAAAAAAAAGAAAATATTACTTTATTGTTTACCTGGTGTTTTCTATGATTAGCTACCTCTTCTGGCATGTCTTCAAATTTGAGTCGTTCATTCACCTGACACTGACCGTCCCATTTAAGCTTAACCAATGCATACAGTCTGAGCTGGAAACACCATGATGTTCACCATTAAAGTCTTCCGTTTTTTGAGTCGTTCGTTTATCATATGACAGTGTGTAAAGAGATGACTCAAGAAATGAATTGAAAATCTTTTTCCAACTCTAAATGCATATGATTGGCTTCTGTCTTTCACGTAATAAACAAATGACTCAAACCCGATAGAGGACTCGAAAAATTAAATAATCTTCTTTACCTGCAAAAATGTGCGCGAATGAACAATCACTCCCTGAGAGGACTCATCGTACTCGAGTCACATAAAAGATTCGTTCAAAATGAACAAACCGTTCAAGAACAACCCATCACTAACGGGTACCGCTCTGTGGATAAATTGGTACCTGTCCACACAAGAAATCATTAATTGTTTCTGTTTTATTTATTATCCAAGTCTGAACAATCTTTCATTTAAAAAAATCTTTTATCTTGAAAAATGACCGTATTTTCTTAGTTACATCTTGGTCATTTCAGCGCCAAAATTTATCCCATAAGCTAGCAAAAAGAGTATAAACAGACATATTTTGAAAGTTTCTTTGTAAAGGGGAAAAGCCCAGTGAAGGACCCATGAACTACCTAGGAATGGATTCATTTGTCAACAAATCAGGTGAATCCAGCATGCCAGCATGCCTGTGCTAAAAGACTAATGATCTTAGACAAACATTGCAGTGGTTTTACATTTTCTCCTTGATTAAAACTTGTATCAGAGTTGCAGCAATGTTTTGTCTGCTTGTCATCCTCTGAGAAAATAGCTCATGATCACCTAGCAATCTACGTAAACCCAGCCTTGGGCTGTGGTAAAACTGTCAAACGTTGACCAGTACATGGTGATAAAATGGTTGGGGACCACAGGAATAAAATGTTTTACTGTAATTACTTTATAGGTCTTGTGTGTAAGCTAAATGGATTGATGACACTTGTAATATAAAATTTACCAGCAGTTTTGTTTTAATCAGATGCGTTTCTATGAAAGATGTTTTTGAATTAAAACAAATGCTTATTTGGGACAAATGCTTATTTGCAATTAGTGTTTAAGAATTTAGTCCTTTTTTATTAAGCTAATAATATTTCTGATGCATTGCTTTACCTGTAGTTTGCTTGCATTTATGACATTGGCAATGTTAAATAGAAGAACATTTGTACAAGGTTTGGCAGTCTAATTACAGAGGTCAGATGATTCTTAGCATCTGACTTTTGTTTTCCTCTCCCCATTAAGACGGAGTGGTGTGCGTGTTCAAGTTTGACGGCAGAACAGCGCGACCAACGAACC